TGCCCAAAAATCGCACGTGAGTCACCCATGTATCAACCATTGGCTGATTTGAACATTGCGGGCTTGCTTGTTGCAGAGATTTTTGCGGGAGGCAACTACATGTCCACACGCGCATGCTCACACTGAAAAAGCGACGCATTTGAAAAAAAAAAAAACAAGTGCTCAAGGTCACGAGGTGCATGTGACGTTTTTCTGTGGCCCTGCCATCCCTCCCTGCTTAGCTTTCAGCGCTTTCGTCGGGACGAGAGGAGAGAGAATGCAATCGCAGCATGCGGCAAACCTTTGTAACTCCACTTAGTACTGGACGGATTCTTAAAAATTTTGCGGCATTCAATTCGTGAGGCAATAAGCTTTTCCAGTGAATTTATTCCGTGGTAACTTGAAAAGCATTTCAGGTCCCCGTTAAGAGATGTAGCATGCGAGGTGCCACAGGTGGCAATACAATGAAATTGAGGACATCAAAGGAGGAGGAAGAGTAACTGTTAAAAAAACTTGGAAGTGGTGGCATTTCGCATCAACACAACTACAGAGGATATAGTGGTCATTTGTTCCACATAAGATCAATTTTTTTTTGAAGACTACTATAGTTTTCGACGGTCCTACTCTTAGAAAATCTCATGAGCTAACTCGTCAATAGTCTGGAAAGGGTTTATATAGCTTTTGTAGGACTGCAAGACTTCGTACTTTTCTCTCACTAAACTGCTCTTGGGAGCACTGTTTGGTTGAATGTCTGCTACTTTTACATACCACAATACATAGTACCTGAATTCAGTGTCTTGCTGCTCTTCTGACAGTGCTGTTACTTTGTTTGCTCCTAGGTGCCTTCCGAAGAGATGACTCTTCAATTGACAGTCTTGAAAGGGCCCTCATGGAGGATTCTAGTCCCAAGTTGCCAAACAGGACGAAAGTGTCGTTGACAAATCTCAGCAGAGATTCTGGTCTCACCCTCAGTGACACTCAGCTGTACACCCCTGAAGATGATGTCGAAATGGAGAACACCAATTCTGCCCTTCAGGGTATGACGAAAAGCGTGCCACATTTAGAAGCCGTTGGCGTCCAGGAGTCCACCTACGGTCGGAGCAACGGTGTTAGCATTGACGGCTCCTGCAACGACGTAGTTCGGCGCCGAAAGTGTGGCGGGGAGGCACCAAAGCACTCCCGGCACCAGACTATTTCGTCTGCCGGTTTCTATGCTCGCTCGTCTCCAGTCTCGAGGGACACCCGGTCTCAACTGCTTCAGTATTCCAAGTCTTGCAACTATCGCGAGAACGATCGTCCCATTGAGGAAGACACTGTCATGGGAAACGACCCCCTCGTTCGCTGGCGCAAAAGCCGTGCACGCCAGCAGAGAGCTAATGCCATGCAGTCGGCAGTGGATGTGAGCAGGCCATGCAGCAACCTCATCAGGAGTGCCTCCGAAGAAAGCCTGCTGCAAAAGTATATGGGTGAAGAGCAACCAAAGCGACGGCCTCAACATTGTAAAGGCAAAGCCCCCAGACCCCCATTGGAAAGTACTAACTGGGAGAGAACAAAGAAGTTTGACACTCCCACTGCCACACCTGACAGACACGCACTGTGGTTTGCCAATCAGATACACAGCGTTGACTGGAAGCGCAGTCAGTCCACCTCGAAGATAGACGAAATCGATCACATCCAGGACGGTCCAATGAACAAGAGTGTGGGACAAGACGGTTGCCAACCTGTGAGCAGCACCATGACAACGAGGCCACACGACATAACAGTAAAGGTGAAGGCAGACTCTCTGGCAAGCGTTCATACGCCACCGCGCGTGAACAGTGTGTGCAGCTCTTCTTCTGAAGGCAGCCAGAGATCTCACCGGTCGCATGAGTCAGCCCATTCGGGTAGATCGCAAGGGTCAAACCGTTCACGAACGAGTCCCTGCCGGCGCCAGTCTCCCAACTGTACCGTAGCTGCGGTCCACCGGTCATCAAGCAGCAAGCCCATGGAGCCTCCCAGCTATCAAGAAGCCATGACACGCCGCACCCTGCTAAGGAGATCGCAGGCTATCTCTCAGGCTGATGACATGTTGCTTGAGGAACCTCAGACTGAGCCTGTATCTCTCAGCTGCAAAGCTCTGCAGCTATACGAGGAATCCTTGAGAATATACAATGAGCAGCTGGATGTTGCGAGCGACACTCATCATGCCATTCTTGTCAAAGTGGATAGCAGTGATGAAGGCATATCTGAAAGCCCACCGCCCCCTCTTCCACCCAAGCCCCACCAGCCTGTGCACCGCACTGCCAGTGACGGCACTGGCATTCGTCTCAGGCACCATCCTCCGGTTCATGTGAAGGATTCTCAACTTGTGAATCGTGGGAAGTGTGTCGTAGTGTCCTCATTTCATGACCGGTGCCAGCCACAGTCATTATACGACTTTCCCAAGGAAATCAGCTGGAGTGTAGCTCAGCTGAGGAGCATCTTCAGCCAGAAAACCTCAGCGGGGAAAGATGGAAGTACGGGCAGCAACAGCGGCCTGTCGGACTCTGCCTGCTCCAGCGAGCGGGAAGGTCCCCACGGTGTGTTGTCAAGTCACCAACGGACAGAGTCAGTGAGCAGCAGCACAGGTGGTGAAGAATCGTATGTGTAAATAGGAGGAGAGAGAGGATTTTCGTGTTTTTATGCCATTTGTGCCTGTTTTGCTGTAACCGAGACAATAGTAATTGTGCAGTCTCTCTGCTGCCACCACTGTTGCCCTCTAATTGCACGTACGCCGCATATGAGCTCAGAGTCCGTGTGACTCTAAGAAGTTTTCGAGTTCTTTTGAAAACTCACACTCTCATGTATTTAACTATTCACCAACTTTGCATGATGAACTTTTGTATATGTGCCAAATAGCATGCTGAGAAGCTTACGAGATCTGTATAGATTTTTGTTGTCCAGTGTTCTGTGTTGTTCCATACTGTTTGATTTGTTTCTAGCATGTTTATGCTCTGTATAGACAGTGTATTGTTCCTTCTAGAGCTCATTCACTGTTGTGAACTGTATATAATTGTAACATGGCATTGTGCAGTAGTGCATGTGCTCCCTGAGGCATGCGAGGGCATAACGTGCCCTCAACCCAATTTGTGACAGGTGCTTGTCACAGCTCACCTAGACCATTGTATTTATGGCCTGTTTGTGTACAACAATGGCTGAACAGATGGTATTGTAGATATTTTGATAACAGCAATAAACATTGTACATGCAATATAAAATCATGTTCCTGCTTTGATGCTCTGAAGGACAGCTTGTGGTTATGCTGCAGGCAAACATTGCATGCTGCGTTTCCAGCAGTCCAACTTTTTTTAACCCGCAACGCTGATGTTTTATGAAAGCATTTAGGTCTTCAAAACCACTAGTGAACTGCGTGCCAGGATGAAGAGTATTCTGTTTTGTCTTATTGATTAGCTAGCTGCAATGGCACATTACGTGGCATAATGTTATGCCTTGTTGTGTAGGAGGTGTAGAAGGGGTGCCAGGCCTAGCACTTAATATACATATGCAGTGGTAATCATACTCGTAGCTTATTAGCTGCAGCATTATAATGGCAAAATTTGTGATATCACTGATAAGTTAAGTTGGCCGCAAATTAACACATCATTCCACCATGAAATTTAAGCTTCCACACTGCTCCAGAGTGTCGTTTGAATTCCCAATGTTTGTGGCAGCATTTTATGGAGAGCTGATATGTGAAGAACACCTCTATGCTTAGGTTTAGGTGCACGAAAATGCCCAGTTTGCTGACAGTAATCCAGAGTCCCTCACTACAGCGTGTGTCATAGGAATCATATTCGGTTGGATCGTTCCAGTTCCCTAAGAAGCTTATGCAGCCAGACTAAAGTGCACCCCTTGAAGTGCGCTCCTAACCCATCCTTAATTGATGGTGCTTTTTGAGGAATGTCTTTTATCAGGACTTGGTGTCATTGTGTTGATAATAGGAATGTCTATCATAAAGCCAAATGCAGAGAACTGCCTACATTGCCTACAGCCAACTTGCCAGAGGCACGAATGCCTACAGCCAACTTGCCAGAGTGACCCACAGTTTAAAATGAAGATAAAGGAATTTTTTCCTTGGCAGGAACGCAGTGTATATCGTCGAACTGATTCACTTATTAAAATATATCAAATCACTTAATGAATTGAATATTTAGAGGAGAGAATTTTGAACCATCAGGAGTACAAGAATAGGGGATATCCAAAGTATACTTGTTTACTACGCCACAAGCATCCACCGCCGTCTTGTCATGGGAGCAAAAGACAATAACCGCTGTCCTGTGACTACTTCAGACTGCTGCGTGGAGCAGTGTGTTCAACGAAAGAGCCGTGGAAACGGCAGGACCGAGGTAATTGCTTTTTATCGAATGTCTTCTTTCACCGGCGCAGGCTGTGATGTGTGTGTGTGTGGGGGGGGGGGGGGGGGGGGCTTAATAACTGCGTGTGCGATTATGAAGCAATAAGTGATAGTCATCGATGAGGTAAGATTTTCGAAGTGCATTCACACATGGTAAATTTCGAAAGTGTGCCCCGACATGTCTGCAACAAAAGTCAGCTGGCACATGTCCACTTTGGCTGGTATTTGGGCTGCTAAATTTGACAACGAAAAAAAAAAAAACGAAGCGTGGGCAGGGTTTCCCATCTATAGGGGGGGGGGGGGAAGGCAGGCTCATTGCTGCGCTCCCCCCAAATAATAAGTGTATGGTGCAGATTCTGCACACCTCCTCCTCATTTGCGCGCATGCCAGATATGCCTCCCCTCCCTGCGCCTATCTAGGTGCCTTTGTCGTGAATACGCGAGAAAACTTGTGATGCGGACATATTCATCGAATACAGCCACAAATTTGTGAGAAGATTGCATTTTCTCCCAAACGTAGTAGTCTTTAAACTTCTGACGCCGACTGCACATTCATTATACAAAAAAATTTATTGCCCATGAAGAACACGGCTAATGGGTGCGAAGTGAAGATGAGCCGTACACAACTGAGCGCTTGCATTCCTTTCCTTTCACTCAGTTTTCCGGCTCTGAATTAACTCGCCAGTCTTACCGTCTGCATCACTTTGCTGACGGAGAACCGACTGTTCGGGCCTCTGATACAGGTACGTGCGAGAGTAGAAATTTACGAACAAACCAAGAATAAGCAACGTCTGGGCGATGCAAAGCAGCGTCAGATGCTTCGGGAAGCCGCAGTCCACGAACAGCGTGACAGACATGTGCGCGATTATGATCGCGAACTGCACAATCTGAAACGTGGTCAGATGCTTCTTCCACCAGAGGTACTTCCGCACCGCGGGACCGAACGTCGCGAGGAAGTAGTAGAAGTACATGACGGCGTGCACGAACGTGTTCAGACACACGCCCAGAGCCGGCTGACCTTCGGGAGCGAAGAGCGTGAAGAGCCAAGTGTTGGCCACCACAATCGTGTGGTGGATGACGTGCAGGTGCGTGATCTGGCTGTACTTCTTGCGCAGCACGAAGAACACCGTGTCCAGGAGATCGAAGTAGCGCGCCGCAGCGTACACCCAGCCGGTGCGGTAGTACTCGAGCATGACGTCGCTCGAGCGACCCGTGATGCCCTGGCACCAGAGACTGTACTCCCCTCCCGGAAGGTAGGTTAGCGGGAGCACCTCGACGAGGAACTTCACCGCGAGGAGCACCATGACGATGTTGTACGCGCGCACGATGTTGAGGATTCGGAAAGGCTCGCGGTTCTTCATCCAGCGAGGTCCAGCGACTCTGACGAAGTACAAGTAGGAGAGCAGCAGTGTCAATACGAAGAGAGGGTCGGTCACCAACGGGTAGTCTCGCGTTCTGGGATCGCCCATCTGGCGTATCTGGTAGGAGAGTGCGACTGGCTTCAGGGTGAACTTCATTGCTTCCTTGTCTCGGGTGAATCCGTACGTACCTGTGGACTGGTATCCTGCGAGGCGGAGTAAGAGTGAGAGTAAATGGCTGCACGAATCTTCAGAACTATGTTATTAGGCACAGTGCACTGAAGGGTTGGGTATGTGTGCAAACACAGAGCTGTGCAGTGGGATTCGGCATGCCCGCTCTTGGTGTATTATATAGCCGGGCCGCTTGGATCGTGCACTTCGCTTAGTAATGACTGCTGCTTTAGGAAAACTACGGGCCTGAGCTGCATGATATATCAGTGGCCTCAAGGCCATCGTTACAAACGACTTTACATTGTAGCCAACCTTTAGAATAGTTCACAAGGCAATCTGTGTCACTGATCAAAGATATACTTAGAGCAAGTGTTTTAACGTAGAAAAAAAAATCTGTGGATCCCATAACGTGCAGGGATTGTAAGATATGAACGAGCATGCTCTTCAACACGAAGAAGAGACATGTGCTCCAAAAATGAGAGCTCCGAAGAGTCCTGAAAAGCCCATAAGTATCTTATCCTGCAGCCTCGTCAGGTCGATCTACAAGCTTCCATATAAGGCATGTGCCGTCAGGTGAATTGCTCGCGAAGAAGCACAGCTGTTATACATAGGAACAGACTCCACGTGTACCCCGGCGTTGTTATTCCTGGGCGATACGTTTCCCCGCTCTGTGTCTTTTGCAATTATATCAGCGACACTGAGCATTTTGTTTAACTATGCCCGCAACTCGACAAGCAGGGAGAAGCGATGGTCAGTGGCCGTCGAGAGGGTGCTCTGAAACATAGCACATTCGAAGACGTTATTTACCACGGAATGCCCGCGTGTGACGTCCGAGGACTATGGAAGATACCAAACGACTGTCTTTCTTAGTCATCGCCTGATTTGGCGCTGTTCTTACACCCCAAGTTTATATAATACTTTCCCGCGAGACACAGGACTGATCGACAGCTGGTGACATAGCCTTATTATCAGCTTCTGAAAGACTCGGGCGGAACAATTGCCGGTGTGCGCCACCACTACCACTGCAGAACTGCGCTTAAACTCTGTGTATAATACCCTACGGAGCAGTGGTGCGCAAAAGAACGACAACACAAGTGGAAGTAACACGGGCATATGATCATTCTTGTATTGTCGTTCTTTTGCGCACCACCGTTTCATGATAAATTAACATCTCGCCCAACATGCAGTTCGTCCTTCATATATGGGAGCCTACGCTTGCATTGCGATACAGTCGTTGCAAAATCGTTTGCGAAGCAGGTGAAGGCGCGAAGATGCACAGCATTAAGATGCACACAAGAAACAAATAATTCGACTCCAGCCCAATTGATTTGCTGGCTTCAGTATATTTTTACTCTTTAAGAACTCGCGAATTCGTGTGTCTGAAATCGATCTCTGAATATGTGAAGCCAATGGCCTATATACTTCAGTTTCAAGGAAAAGAGGTCAGACCATTCGGAGACATAGGATTACCCATCGATACATGCACATAAAGACGCACCGTCCTCTGCTATGTCAGCTCCTCGAAAGTCAGCAAGCGAACGTGCGATGCGGCAAGACTCACCTCTTCTAAAAGCGCCAAGAGAGAAGAGAGCCTTCCACGACCGCTCCAGTGCTTTCCTTGCTGACCAAGAGAGGTGCTGGCGCGTTCGCCGCTTATTCCTTGCAAGATACAAAGGTGTCGCAGCTAATCTCGCCTCGCGAGAAAGTAACGAATTGTTTTACACAATACCCGTCACCTGGCGCGGGAACGCATCAAGTTTGCAAATTAACCTGCGAGAGGCATATAATGACGCACCTCTGACTCCCAAGTGATCAGCGCTCCGGGTTAGACAACAATGTTTCTCTCGCAGGAAGGCGCTTCGACCATGTTTATGTTTGGGTGGCTCGCGAGGGTTTTCGTGTAGTAGCTTTACGTGTAATAATACGCTATTATGTAACGACGTCGCATAGAGCGAGAACCGTCAGTTGTTACGCATTTTCCCTCAGTCACCCTTATACTTCTCTTGTTTCCTGCATAGCAGCTCTATAATCTTCATTAGAGTGGTCTAGAGAGGAAGATAGAAAGAGTGCGCGCGTGTGTTGCGAGTTTGCATTATGTCCGCATATGTACTGGATAAACTCCACGAAGAAGGAAGACATGTGCAGTGAAGGGAATGAAGTATATTCAACATTTGGGCGGGACAAAAGACGCTATACGCCGCGGAGAGTGACGTATCTAGAGAGTGGCACACCGGTCCCACGCCCCTAACTGCATCCCCATATTTTGCAAACGAAAGGTCTGGGGCTCTGCATACCCGTACGTGTATTAGAGGTGGGCTAACGTAGCGTTTATCGCATTTCATTCTTTCGCGTTAGACGTGGTTTTAGGTTTTGGACCTCGAAATTCTACTACCTGAAGACGCTATATATATAGCGCCTTCACTGCAACTTCGGGCGAATATTGTCATGTGGTCGCGACGTGACGAATACAGCAGTATCATTCCTCAAAGTGAAACTGTTTATTTGGCCGAACTTGTGGACGCGAAACGGAAACTGAAATTACAGAAAGCAATGCCTTCTGTGGACTAATGTCGGTGCACAGAGCGTTGGTAGTCGACAAAGTAACAAGCGGACATTCGCGTCGGCTTCTGTACATGTATCATCGAAGATTCCAGCGTTATCTCTAGCGGCCGCGTAAGTTCCAGAACTAACTCTAACGTTCGCTTTGTGGACATAATCTCATCGAAAGGTTCTAAGATTATGTAATAGTTCCCAGTATTTTGGGCGCGCTTTGTGCATGGCAGCATGCAGTTACACATTGCAATGGGGTGGTGACATCAAAAATAGAGAAAACAAGTAGAAGCACGTGTGGCATGGTCCCCCTTTCTCGCCTAAAAAAATAAACGTGAAAGTGCGTAAAAGAAGTGCACGCATAAATACAGGACAGCAATAAAGCAAAAGCACAGTCCTTTAGCTCGCTAACGAGTATTAAGGCGCACGACATGGACGACTGCGGTCGTCCGCGGCTCCACTGAGAGTTCGTAATTACGTCAGGGACAACCTCCTAGTCGAAAGCGCCGAGGCGTCGAAGTACGCTGTACGGTCTGAAGTATTGCCGAGTAAGCTTCTCGCTAAGTCTCCGTCGGCGTACTGGAGTTCAGACCCATGCACGGTCTGAGGGTTGGTATTCCACGTGGTGTCGTCGAAGATTGTAGTGGTAGCTGTCTTTACTTTGCTGGTTTTCGATGTGTAAACGGGCGAGTTGTCTGACTTGCTCGGCGTGCCGAAGGTATACGGTGACGTCGAGGTTTTCTTTGTCGGTGGTGTTGGGTAATATGGTGCCGAGTGTGGTCGTCAGGTTCCTTCTGTAGACCACATTGTACGGCGCCGTCTGCGACGTTTCTTGCACGACCGTGTTGTATGCGAAGGTCATATAGAATGGTGGCCCAGGTCCTTTGTTCGACGTCGACGTGCATGGCCAGCACGTCAGACCTTGTTTAGACGCTCAGTGAGGCTATTTTCCTGTGGCTAATTGGCGGTGGTGACCGTGTCTCCCAATATCGTTTGAGTTACGTTCACACTAAATGTGCTACCTGTGTCGGTGACAATGACCTCTGGGGCGCCGTGACGCAGGACGATGTTCTCAACGAAAAACTTCAATACCTCAACGGCACTGCCTTTAGGTAGGGCCTGGGTTTCGGCGTAGCGGACGAGATAGCCAGCAGCTACGGTGATCCATTTATTTGCGCAATCCAACGTTGGGAATGGCCCTGGTACGCTCATCCCGATTGGCTGAAGAAAGCCTGCTGGTCTTAGCGGTGTCTTGCTTCGCTAATGCTGCATTCAGATGACGGACCGAATCCGGAATTTGTCGTGGACCCGGATGGCTAATCCGCGGATGATCTGCCTGCAGGCGCATCCAAATGACGGACGGACTCGGTTTCTGGATTTCGTGCCGATCGGTAGTGCCCCAGCGATCTCCGACAACAGCGCAGCTCTGGCCGACTGGCTCGCCCTACGCGATATCCTGACGCCTACAAGAGCTCTCACTGTATCGGCATGTCCTTACGTAGCGAGCGACGTCGGTGGCGAGACGAGGCCAGGTGTACTTTTCCTGTACTCTTTCGAGAGTGCGGGAAACACCAAGGTGTCGTGCCATTACATCGTCGTGCAGAGCTTGGAAGATGTCCGGTCGCAATGCTGAAAACACGACTAGAAGATACTTGTCTCGAAGCAGCGGGTTTTTCTATTGAACACAAGAAGCCAAGCGCATTGGCTTTTATTCATGTATCTTCGAAGATCCCAGCGTTATCGCTAGCGGCCGCGTAAGTTCCAGAACTAACGTAATTTCATCTGAAAGTACTAAGATTATGTAGAAAGTTGCCTGTCATTCACACATAATTTAGACTCATAAAGGACATTGTTGATGTCATCGCCCCTATTTTTGCTCATATCGTTAACTTAATCGTTAAAGGGGCTCTGAAACACATTTTCAAGTAAGCATAGAATGAATTCACTGGAAGAGCTTATTGCCTTACGAATTCAACGCCGCGAAAACTTTAAGAATCCGTGTAGTGCGAGTGGAGTTAAATATTCGTCGCATGCTGCAATTGCATTCTCCCTTGTTCTGTGGCTGGAAGCTAAGCCACCTAAGCAGGGAGCAATGACAGGGGCAAGAAAAACACGCCACCCGCGCCTCGTGACCTTGAGGTCCTTTTCTTTTTTCTTCTTTTTTCGATTGCGCGACTCTCTTAGGGTGATCGCGCGCGCACGCGTGGATAAGTCGCGGCCTCCCACGGCGATCTCTGTAACGACCGATGGCGCCATGTTGAAATCAGCCAATGGCTGTTAGATGGGTTTGCTACGAGTGATGTTTGAGCGTCTTCTTGTCATTTGTCGAGAGAAAATAAAGCAATTTTTTGCTACCCTTGATAAATTATTGTTAATTTCAGGCCACATGCCGCGCTATAATATTTGGCTCGCGTGTTGTTGGGAGCCTCTGCTACCGA